TTTTCGGAGCTCCGCGGTTGCCGCCGGCTTTTCTTATGCAGATTCCCTCTTTCACACCTCCTAAACAAAGGCAAACGGGGGCATCGCCTCTCCGTGTCAACACACACGCTCATTAGCGGGAAAGGCGACGGGGGAGCGGGTGGGAACTGCCCGAGCAGCCCCTCCGGGGGGGCGGTCACATCGACGGGAGGCTGGAGCGGGCCGGGGATCGCCCGAGGAAATTTGGAGCGAGGTCTTCACAGCCCCCGAGTAAATAAGTTTCCGACGCTGCGTGCTTGACAGCCTCCACTTCGTTTATTGTGAGACGCGTGGCTCAGCCCGGCTTTGTCCGAGCCGACGGCGGCACCGCAGGGAGCGGCAGAGCCGGGGTGCGGGGCAGCGGGATCCCGCGGAGGGAAAGCAGGGAGCGGCCAGAGACGGGAGAGCAGAGATGGGAACGGGGTCCTGAAATCGCGCAGGATCTAGGAGGGGCTCGAGGAGGGGAACAATTAAAGCTTCTCCAATTACTGCCATCCGCGGGAGGAAAAAAAAAAAAAAAAGAAAAGAAAAGAAAAGAAAAAAAGAAAAAAAAAAAGTATATAATATACTATGTATATATATAAAAGGAAACCAACCGATTAAAACAGCACAGAGAAGGGAAGGGGGAAGCAAACGATGAAACACCAGAGAAATCCGTGCCCCACGAAATCCGGCCCGGTGCTGCGGAAGGGGCAATGGGGGCAGCGGCAGGGCCGGGGCGGGGGCAGGGCTGGGGCTGGGGCTGGGGCTGCCCCACAGTGGAGCGGGAGGCGGCGTGTCGGAGCTGCCGGCACCGGGGATCCGCGCCATCCCGCAGCCGCGCGGCTTCCCCTCTCCTGCTTTTGTGGGTTTGGGGTTTTGTTTCTTTCTTTCCTTGATTGCTTGCTGTTTTTGTTCTTTTCCTTTCTTTCTTTCTTTCTTTCTTTTTTTCCTCTTTCCCACCTGCCTCCCGCCCCCCTTAAACGGCACCGAGCGAACCTAATCGCGGAGCCTTTCGCCTCTCCGGGGCCTCACCTTGACGCCGGCTTTCGTTTTGTGCCTCCCCTTCCTCCGACAGCCCAGGCTGGAGCTCGGAGAGAAGGAAACAATAAATTCGTTAAAAATCAGAAAAGAAGGGGTAAAAAAAAAAATATATATATATATATATAAATCCCCCGATCCCTCGTTTGGATCGCGGCTTGGGGGGAGCGGGGGTTGTTTGGTTGTTTGTTTTCTGTCCCCACCCCACCCCCTCTCCACCTTTCAACAAAACAGCCACGGGGCGGGCGGGGGGCCCCGCTTCCCGGCACCGAGATGAGAAAAGAGGGGGGACCTGGTGGGACGTGGGTGGGGGGGGGTTGCGCCGTTGAGCGGGGATGCGCGGCTCTTTGTGCGCGGGGTCGGGCGGTGGGAGCGCACCCTCTCCGCGCTTTCTGCGCTCGCACCTCCGCCACCCACAGCACGTTGAAATTTCCACGTCCCAGCTGCCTTCCCCCCTTTAACCTTGATATTAATTTAGGACGGATCTTTTTAAATGTCTCCGTAATGCATTCAGACGCTGCTGGAGGTTTATCTCTTTTTCTCTCTCTCTCTTTTTTTTTTTTTTTTTTTTTTTTTTTTTTTTTTTTGTACCGTGGGTTATATTTACACCCAAAACAAAATAATTACACTTTTGTTGGAGAGAGAAAGCTGGTGATTAGACCGGGGTTTTTTGCAGCAAACCCTTTCTCAGTGGTACACCAGGACAATTTTTCACGGCTGGGTGAAATCAGACGCGGGAGGTAATGAATCCTGTGAGCTATTTAAATTTACAATTTGTAACGCAGTCACTCAGAAACGCCTATGGCCCGGCGAGGAGATGCTTGCTGGGTTTGTTTAATGTTAAAACCGCACTGTCCCGCTTTTGCCGGGTGCGGAAGGGGGGAGGGGAGGGGGGGGGGGGCGGCGGGAGCCCCGCACAGCCCCGCACAGCCCCGCGGACGGGCGCGGATCGGGCTCGGCTCCCGGCCCCGCTCTCCGCGCTGCTCCGCGCTCCCCGGCGGCTCCACCAAAACTAGTTGGAAATATCAACAAAGTCGGCGGCGGAGCATCCTAACAGATAGATAATTAATTACAAAACACAGGGGGAATATGCAAACCGCGTATTACAAATTCTACAGGGCTTAACTGATTGGAAACAGATTATTATCTTGTTTGTCTTTTGTCTGTTTCACTTATCCCTCTGTCGCTTGTTGTGCTGTAAGTTGATACACTTTATTCTTGAAAGGGGATTTTTTTATATAGTAAATTCCATCAACATCTTGTATAAGCGACGCCGCTCCTCCACGCTTGCCCTGTTAAAACACAATAGGTTTATTAGTTACATACAGGCGATATTCCGCCGCCTGAATCACCGGCCGTTCCCATAAGGGAATGTGTCTGGCGGGAACGGGCTGGGGGCCACCGGGCTGCGTCCTTGTTCTCCCCTCCCCGTTCCCTTTATGTATTCTTTGGCTTTCCAACGAAACGGGGGGCCGAGCCCGGCGGGGGGAGCGCAGCGCTTCGCACCCGGGGCCCCTCCCGCACGGCGGACACGGGGAGGTCCCGGGGGTCGCTACCGCAGCGCGGAGCCCCGCGCGGCGCCGACGGGGCGCACCGGGAGCCGCCGTGGAAATAAAATCGAGCGTGAAAAGCGGCTCCGCCGCCCGCACGCTGCCCTCGCCCGGAGGTGTGCGCGCATCGGGGTGCGCGGCTGTGTGCACACGGCGAACGGCTCGTTTTGGGTCCCGGCCCTGCCGCGCTGCCTCCGAGAGTTGCGGGGCCGGGGCTGCGCCGAGATGCGGCCGGCTCCGAGGTTTGGCCCCGCACCGCCGCTTCTCGCAGCACGAAGAGCCGCGGAGCGGGGCGGACCGAGGGCAAACTTTGGCGGAGGCGCTGCGGCAGAAGGCTCGGGGCCCCAGCGGCGCCCGCTCTCCGCTCCGTTTCCCTTTTCCTTCCTATTTCTTTCTTTTCCAGTTGTTGCCTTCTGAATTTCCTTCTCTCTTTGTTTCCTTTCATTTCCTTCCTCTTCTCGCTCGCTTTCTCGGGCGCTTCTTTCCTGGCTTTCCCTTTTTCGTTTTCTTTACTTTCCTTTCTTTCTCTTATTCCTTTCTTTTATTTTTTTTCATCTTTTCGCTTCATTCTTCTGTTGTTTTCCCTGTTTGCTATTCCATTTCTTTCTTCTCTCATGATTTTTATTTTCTTTATTTTTTTTCGTTCTTTCCCCCCCCATCTTCCTTTTCTTTTTTTTTAACCTTCATTTTTTTCTTTTCTTTTTGTTTTATCTTCATTTTTTCCTTTCTTTTTCGTTTATTTTCGTTATTTATTTTTTTCTTTGCCCTCGTTTCCTCCTTTCTCTCTCTCTTTTTTTTAATTTTTTTTAATTTTTTTTTTTTTTGTCTTCTGTTTCCTTCTGTGGTTGTTCTGGTTTTTTGTTTGGTTTGTTTCTGTATTTTTCGTTTTATTTTCCCTCCTGCTTTTTCTTTTCTTTTCTCTCCTCCTCTCTTTTCATTTATTTTGTTGGCGGCCTCCGCATTTCCTCTCCTCGGTTCTCTCTCCCCAGACTCACCGATCCTCATTCCCCTGCCCGGCGATGCCCTTATCCTGCGGTTTTGGGGTTTCTTTTTTGGCCGCTACTGAGATTCTTTCAACCCGAACGCTCTGCTCCTTCCTCCCCAGTGCGGAGATCGAGTGGGAACGGATGTAGAGGGGCGGCTGCGGGGGAGGGAGGAACGGGAGTGCCACCCCAGTGTCGAAGCGCGGTGTCCCGGCGTCCCTCACCGGCGCCGGTTGTCGGCAGCTCCGCCGCACCTGAAACTGAAGAGGACAAACAGCGGAGAGTGCGGCGACCCCCGGCTCCGGCGTCCCCCTCCTCCTCCTCGCCCCCCCCCCCCCCCCCCCCCCCCCCCCCCCCTCCCGCTCAGTGTCAGCCCCTTTCCCGACGGAGCGGCCCGGAGGGGACACGGCTGCGCGACAAAGACCGGCGGGGGGGCACGGCATTGCGCGGAGCCGCGTAACTTTTCGTCTCCTCTGTCCCCACCCCCGGGTTCCTCCCCCCCCCCCCCACCCTCACCCCTTTCGTGCTTTCACCGCCCACCCCGGGCACAGAGCGGGCTGAGGGGAACAGCTGCGGGAGTGGTGCGAACAGTGACAGAACAGGTGACGGCCGCCCCGTCCCCGCTCGGGACCCCCGGAACGAGCATCCCCATCAAAGAGAGAATTAAGGAGAGAGAGAGAGAGAGAAAGGCTGAGCAGAGCCCCCCCGGCACCCCAGGCCAGGTGCGTACTCACTTGGCGGCGCAGGTACAAGCCACCCTCAACAATAGAGGCGCGTTGTTTTTTTCCCTCTGTGCCAAGCACAAGGCTGGAGCCAATTTAGATATGCTATAAATTAAGAGGTTGCCATGGCCACCGCGCTGCCATTGGCCGTCGCCCGCCCGACGCGGGCCCCCACGTCACCAAATCTGAATAAGGATGCGCGAATTACTAAGGCGGGGGACAAAGCTGGCGATGGGGACAGCATGAGAGTGGCGGCGCGGCGGCGGAGCACAGCGAGGCACCGGGGCCGCCGGCCGCTGCGGGGGCGTTCATGCACCCCTCCCGCACCCGCACGCAGCGCGCCCGCCGCTCCCCGCCCGCTCCGCAGGGACTCGGGGGGCTTCCGCGGGGGGGCTCGGGCTTCTCTCGCTCGGGGCACTGCTTTTTTCCTACCGAGGCTCCGGAGAGAAGAGGGGGAAGAACTTGACAGCGGCTCCGCTCTCCCTCCCTGATTTTTTTTTCTGATTTTTTTTTTTTTTGTTAATTCTTTTTATTTTTTAATTATTTTTAGTCTATCTTTTTATTATTATTATTATTATTATTACTATTTTTTTTTGTTTGGTTTGTTCTGGGTTTTGGGATTTATTTTTTTTTTTAATAGCATTTTTCTTCCCGACGTCTGAATTTTTGAGACCCCGTCGTGTGCCGGCGCGGGGTTGATTCCTTTCGTCTGCGCGTTTCCTTCCCGGCGCGGTGATGATGGTGCATTGTGCGGGCTGCGAGAGGCCGATTTTGGACCGCTTCCTGCTGAACGTCTTGGACAGGGCATGGCACATTAAATGCGTCCAGTGCTGCGAGTGCAAATGCAACCTTACCGAGAAATGCTTCTCCAGGGAAGGAAAACTCTACTGCAAGAATGACTTCTTCAGGTGAGTGAGCCCCCAGCAATCACAAGCCCTTCCAGAGACTGCGGAACCGCCGCTCCCAGCCCGGCGGGGTAGCAGAACTCTGGGGCTCCTTCTGGGATCTTGTGGGGGAGGGAGGGCGCTTGGGGGCACCCCTCCAATCTCCACCCGTCTATTCCGTGGGTCTTCGCCACATCTCTCCGGCGCGGTCCCGGCCCCGCTGTGTCCGCGGCTGCGCTGCATCCCGAGCGAGGCCGTTCACCCCCCCACCCCGGGTGACCTTGTCTCCGAAAGCAGCCGGGCCAGTGGCCCGCTCTGCCGCCGCCTCCGCCTCGCAGCAGGCCCGGGGGCCTCAGGGCTGGGGTCGTTTTCCCCCTCTCGACCGTCACCGCAGTCTTTCTTCACCTAAACGCCGCTCCTCGTGCAGCGCTCCAGCCCGGGGGCCCCCACGCTGCGCCGCACCTTAAACGCCCCTAATGACTGCGATAAGGTGCCGAGGAGGAAATTAGGGGCCAGCATGGGAAGGGGAAAATGACTTACGACTTGTAATGCCTTCACTACATCAACGTCACGGGCAGCAGCGCGGGGGGCTGAAGTTATGCCGCGGCCAAGAGGGAAAAGGAGAGCCTCGGTGCCCCCCGGGCCTGGCAGCCGCCGTGAAAGGTTTTTTATTTTCTTTTTTTTTTTTTTTTCCCTCGGGGAGTTCGTTTTCTGAATTTTCGCCTTCCCTGGAAAAAAATAAAATAAAAATAAAAATAAAATCATCTCCTGAAGAAGGGAAACCGGAGCTCTCCAAAGCGGCAGTTCCAAGAAGAGAAAAAAAACAACGTGGAGCGCAGGGCGCTCCGCCCCGCACCCCGAATTGCCCCCGGCTCCGAGGCCGCTGCCACCCCCCGGTCCTGCAGCGATGTGCTGGGAGCGCGCGGAGTCTGAAATTCTGCCCCGGTGGGCACGGAGAAAGAAATCCTCGCCTTTTGGGGCGGCCCCATTGCACCTCTCTGGGAACCCGAAAACCGAGATTCGGATGGGGTGGGGATAGGGGCTTCGGAGACGCGAGGGGAGCGACGCGGTCCCGTCCCAGCTCTCACCTCTCGCCTTTCTCCCCTCCAGGAGGTTTGGCACCAAATGCGCCGGCTGCTCCCAGGGCATCTCCCCCAGCGACCTAGTCCGGAAAGCCCGGAACAAAGTGTTCCACCTGAACTGTTTCACCTGCATGGTTTGCAACAAGCAGCTCTCCACGGGCGAGGAACTGTATATCATAGACGAAAACAAATTTGTTTGCAAAGAGGACTATTTGAACTCTCCCAGTTTGAAGGAAGGAAGCCTCAATTCAGGTACGAGCGGCGCAGCCCGGGGAACCGAACCGCACCGGGCCGAGTCCTGCCCGCTCCCCACGGGCAGCGCAGCGCTCCCGGCGCCGCTCCCGGCGCTGCCGCTGCCGAGGTTTCTACAGCGCCCCGTGGACCGGGAGGGGGTTTGGGATGCAAGCGTTCACCTCGTGCTTCCCGCGGGACGCAGACACGCGTTGAGCCCGCGGCTGCCCCCACCGAGTCCCCCACGCACGCTCCGATCCCGGGACCCCCCCTGCGAGGCTGCCCGGTCCCCCCGCGCCAAGGGCCTGATCCTTCGCCTCCTTTCACCCAGAGGCAAAGCTCCCATTTGACTTCCTTGGAAGCTGTCTCTGCGTCAGGACCGCGGGATCAGGCCCCCTCCTGCTGGCCCAGCAGTGCCGGCCGCCCGTGCTCACCCCCTGCCGTGGGCTCTTTCTCCGTCCAGCACCCGGGGCCGGATCCTGCCACGCGAGTCAGTGGGGCCGCTGCTGCGAGCGAGGCGAGTAGAGCTTGGCCTGGGTGATGCCGGCATCAGGGTCTGGGGGGGCGGCTGGGGGAGGCGAGCCAGGTTCAAGGCAGTGACCGGAGCCCCCCACGAGCCCATACATTCTTGCATTTCTCCCAGCGGCGCATCCAAGCTCCCGGTGTGGGAAGCGCGGCGTGGGGGGAGAGGGGAAGCGCCAGAGGCTGTGGGGTGCTCGGTGGGGACGACCCCTCCCCAACTTGCCCCCTCCCGGCTGCATGGCCCCTGTGCAGCAGTGGGTTGGGGGGCTGCTGCCGAGTTTGCCTTTCATATGTAGGGGGCCAAACTGTGAGATGCTCAGCCCGAGCTCATTGTTCTTTGGGGTGCTTCAGGGTTCCTCGGGGGCAACGGCGTCTGCACCCCTTGCTGCTGCCCAGCACCTCCTCCCCTCCCCTGAAAAGCATCCTGGCTCGGTGGGAAGGGGAGGACAGTGGAGAGGGGGGTCGATCTCTCTCCTAAGCCATCCACCCCCCCATCCCCCCACCCCCTCTCTGGGTCTCCTTTACAGTGTCCTCATGTACAGACAGGAGTTTGTCCCCGGATCTCCAGGACCCCATGCAGGACGACACCAAGGAGACGGACAACTCCACCTCCTCGGACAAGGAGACCACCAACAACGAGAATGAGGAGCAGAACTCGGGCACCAAGCGGCGAGGGCCCCGCACCACCATCAAGGCCAAGCAGCTGGAGACCCTCAAAGCCGCTTTCGCAGCCACCCCCAAGCCCACCCGGCACATCCGCGAGCAGCTGGCCCAGGAGACCGGCCTCAACATGAGGGTCATCCAGGTATGGCCACTCCATAGCCATCCCACCGCCCCCCATGATGTCACTGGGCCGGCCCGTGACATCACCAACGTGACCCGCGCAGATCCGGGACAGCAGAATTTGGGGTGGCAGCAGGGAAGGGATGGGGATGTGGATAGGGCCCTGGATGTGAGAACAGGAGGTGGAGAAAAGGAGAGGCCACTGCGCCCTGCAGGCAGCCCTGTACCTTACTACGGCACTGCCAACCAATCCCCCCGGCAAGAAAATCCCTGCGGAAATGTAGGGATTAATGGGCTTTATTAGCGGCGTTAATAGGAGAGGACGTTCCGGCTCTGCTGCAGGCGGCCCAGCTCCCGGCGGAGGGAAGCAGGACCCGCGGGACGTGTGCGCATTCCAGACGTGCCCAGATGTGGGGGGAAAGAGCGCAGATTCCCCCTCCCCCAGCAGAGCTGCGCTTTGGAGGGAGAATGCCCCCGAGGAAGGCTGTTGCACCGCCCTTCCCTTTTATTCCCATCCCCATCGGCCAGCTTGCTTCCAGCCCCCTCCCCGCCTCCTGCCGTGACCCCCCCGTTTATCCCCTCCTTTGTCCGGCTCCCCCATTGGAGAAAACTGCCCGGGCACAGGCAGGCTGTGAGGACGGCGCACCCCACGGGACGCAGTGAGGTGCCGGGGCTTTAATGACCCCTTTCCTTGCCTCCCAGGGTGTTATCAGGAGGGGGTAGTGTGAAAACAACCTCAAGCTGGGAAATCCCTTCCAGCGAGATATCCCATCCCTGCCCCCATCCATCCCTGGCCTAAGTGGGGAGGGCTGGCCCCGAGGACTTGGGGTCCCCACGGCAACCCGGCCCCGAGTGCTGATGCCGGCCCGGCCTCAGGTCTGGTTCCAGAACCGCCGGTCCAAGGAGCGCCGGATGAAGCAGCTGAGCGCGCTGGGCGCCCGCCGGCACGCCTTCTTCCGCAGCCCGCGCAGGATGCGGCCCCTGGGCGGCCGCCTCGACGAGTCCGAGATGCTCGGCTCGACGCCCTACACGTACTACGGAGGTGAGGGAGCTGGGCCCGCCGTCCCCGTGCCGTCCCACCGCATTCTTCCCCCGTTTCCTTCCCTGCCTTTGTTCCTTCCCTTCTCGGCTCTCCCTTTCCCCTGCCGCCCGGACTCGGGGCGGTGGCAGGGGTGGCGGTGGCAGCAGCGCGGCCCCTCTCCCTGGAAACAAAGCCCCAGCTGCGGGTTTTTGTGCCCCTCTCAGGCTGCATTTGTCCCAGTTACCGCCCCGGGCCTGCAGCATATGGAAGGTCACCACCACCCCGACAGGACGGGGTGCGACAGGGAACCCCACAGCATTTGGGACAATATATCCCACTTTTGGGCAAAGAGCTCTCACCAATTCCCCTCTGCCCCCACCACTACCAGAACCCCTCTATAGCTAATATATATAGATACGATGTGTATTTTTCCTCACATATATAAGTATTCCACATTTTATTTTTATATGTCTCCTATACCTCGCCTTTATTTATGTATCTCATTTATGTATATCTTCCTATTAGATATGTATATAACTTTTATGTATTTATAAATGCATGCATACATGTATATGTATGTGTAGGTATATAGACGCATATATTTTTCTTAGTTGTAATTAAGAACGAAATTATGCCCACCTTCTCCCCCCGGGGCTGCCCCCAGCCCCTCCTGTTCTCCACCTCCCCACTTTCCATTCCATCATCAGTGCTGAGGTGCCCGTTTTTCTCCCTGCTTAGCCCCACTTTCGTTGCAGCAGCACCGAGCTCCCCAGGGGAGGGGAGGGGAGTGGAGGAGAGGGGAGGGGAGGGGAGAGGAGGAGGGGGAAGCATGCCCGTCCCTGCGTGGGGGTGCAGCCCCACTTCCCGCAGGTGCTCGGGGTGGTGGCTCAGGGACCGGCTCCAACCTTTCCCCACCTTTGCAGATTACCAAGGTGACTACTACGGGCCGGGAGGCAACTATGACTTTTTCCCCCACGGGCCCCCCTCCCAGGCCCAGTCCCCGGCCGACCCCAGCTACCTTCAGAACTCAGGACCCGGCTCCACGCCCCTGGGACCCCTGGAGCCCCCCCTAAGCGGACACCACTCCTCAGAAAACCAAAGGTACACGGATATGATCTCGCACCCCGACACCCCCAGCCCCGAGCCGGGGATGACGGGCTCGCTGCACCCCATCCCGGGGGAGGTCTTCAGCGGGGGGCCCAGTCCACCCTTCTCCATGTCCAGCAATAGCGGCTACAGCGGGGCCCTCGCGCACCCCAACCCGGAGCTGAGCGAGGCAGCGGTGTGGTAGGGCCGAAGGGGAGGACTCCCCCGCCCCTCAGCCCCGGGGCACGGCTCTCCGCGGCCCCATCGACGGATATCGCCCCCCCCGACGCCGCGGCCGCGCTCCGACGTCCGACCGCATCCTCCCACCGCGCCCCTCCCTCCTCCCCCCGCGGGGACACCGCGCTACCTCCCCGCCCGCCCGCACCGCTCCGCATCCCCGTGCTGTTATGAGTGGGGGAGCGGGGGGCGAAGCGCGTCCGGCCAGGGGCTCCCCCCGCCGCGTCGGAACCGCCGCTCTCGGACCAAAGCTGAACTCGCCAGGACACGGGTCCCACCGGTGCGGGGGCTGCCGCGGGGCTCCTCGCTCGCTAATTAGCACCCATTTTAATTATCCCCTTCCTCCGTTCATCCGAGCATAACGGTGGGGGTAATGGGGGACAGCAGAACGCTCCTTAAGCCCCCTCCCGGGCCCTTGTTCCCATTGCTCCTGTTTTATCCCCGAGGAGGAGGTGGTTTCATACCGAAATTTTGGTGATGGATGAGCAGGGGGGTGGAAGGAGGGGGTGCGCGGAGCTTGGGAAACCCGGGAAGAGGCAGAAATGGGAAAAGCAAACAAACAGAAAAACGGAGAGAACAAAACCCACCCGAGCAGTGCGGCAGTGCAGGAGGGCCGAGCCCCCCTGGCCCCGCGGTCTGAGGATGTATTATAGTTTTTGCTTCTAGTTTCTTTATTTTGTATAAAGGAGAAACAAATAAAGTATGTTTTTGTGTTTATTGATTATTTATTGTACTCTTAGTCATCGGAAGCTCAGAGCTTTTTCTATTTTGGAGGCTGGGAAAGGGTGGCAGTGAGTGGAAGGAAAGAGGATAGAGTGGGGTGGGGGGGAAAGGAAAAAAGAGAATGGAAAAGGAAGAAAAAAAGTTGTGTTCTGAGCGTGGGTTTCCTGTCCCCACTGCCTCTTGCAGAGGCTGTCAGTGTGACCAGCTCGTGTTGTTCAATGTGAATAAAAATCATTTTAGTTACCTGCTCCGGCACCTGGTCCCTTTCATTGTGGGGTTTGAGCGATGAGCGGCGCCGAGCTAATATTTAAAATGCAAAATCAAGGCAAGAATGTGCCTCCCCCCCGTCCCCCCCACCTTGTCTTGTAGTAAAAAGATATAAACAGAATAAATTACCTTCCCTCGCTGGCTTCCAAGAGCCCCTCTCTCTGACCTGAATTTTAAGTCCCGGCGTGGTGGTGCCACCAAGAGCCGGTGATGGATGACAGGCAGCCACCTCGCTGCGTATTTTCCCTGTTCAGCCAAGCAGAGGAATTTATCCTTCCTGTGCCATGACGAGTGGTAATGAGGGGCCGCAGCCAAGCCGGGGGCACCTGAAGCACTCAGCATGGGGGAAACTGAGGCACAGTACAACCCGCTGGGACCCCGGAGCAATATGTGTATGGGCAGTGTGAGGGCCGGCAGACCCCCTGCCACTGCCATTAGGAGGGCTGCAAAACAGAGCACAAGGGCACGCGCTGGCTGCTATTGTTATGAGTATTGTGTAATTACTGCCCCGCTAATTGCGGGGTACACCAACCCGCAGCACCCATCCCAGGCTGCAGGGGGGGAAGTTGGGATGAAGTGGGGGCTCTGTGTGAGGAGACTGGGGTGCAGAAGCTGGAAAGTAATCTGGTTCTGGACCCAGGATAAAAAATTGTGGAAGGAGGTTGGGCTGAGTCCTTATAATTAATGGTGTGCCTTGTAATAAGACTCTCCAGCCTCCGGCGCTCCCTAGAAACACGTTTTTACATAAGATATTGCCCACAATGGAGCGGTGGCTATTTGATTTATGGGGTGGGTCCTCTGGGAAGCATGGTGTGGGCCTGCCAGGCCGAGGGGATTTACTGGGGAAAAGGGAAAAAAGAAAGTGGGGAGGAGGGGGCTCCTGGGAGGCGGCTGGGCAAAAGGAGCCTTGTTAACTGCTCCGGAGGGACAGGAGGAGGCTGAGAGGGGTTTTGTGGAAGGAAAGGGCAGAACGGACACTGGAGTGAAATAGATCAACTGAAGTGAGTTGGAGCAGTGGTGGTAAACTGGACACCATTCAGAGCCGGGAGCACAGGCAAGAGCAAGGCCCCACGGCCCTGCCAAGGAACCACGTGGCTGCAGACGGTGCAGCAGGAACAGAAGAAGATTGTAAAAGTTAATAAGCATTAGAGTAATGCATTGAGACGGTAGCAAAGTAATCAGTCAGAGGGAGCATTTGCTAATTGGAGTGGGGAGTCGTGGTCGGTGCCAGAAGCAGCAGCTCAAGGGACGCGGCCGTCCCCAGGGCCATTTGCTGGGGGCGGAGGGAGGAACGCCACCACGCCTCAGTTTCCCCATCCTGCTCAGTGATGGGAGCGGGGCACGTCCAGCAGCCATCACTGCAGCACAGGGGGGCACGGGGTGGCTGTGGGGTGGCATGAGAGTCACTCCAGGCCCAGCTGGTTCTTCAGGTCCCTCAGCAGTGTGGCCGTCATGCTGCTGCCGCCGCAGACCACCAGCACCACGCGGCCCAGCGGGGTCCCCAGGCGTCCCTCACGCTGCAGCTGCTGCAGTCGCCCCGAGTAGAGCAGGGCCAGTGCTGCACCACACGCTGGCTGCACCAGCATCCGCTCGTCGTCTGCAGGGTGGAGACATGCTGAGTGCCTGTCGCCATCACACCCCTCTACAAGTCCTTGTCCTTGTGCCCCGCTCACCCAGAAACCTTTCCACAGCGCGCACGGCCTCGGCATCCTCCACCACCTCAGAAATGACCTGGATCTCCTGGGCACACTGTAGCGCCCGTGCTGACACAGTCTTGGCCCCCAGGCACTTGGCCACACTGGAGAACGAGTCAGAGTAACGCTGGGACCCTTTGTCCCCTTGGGGCTCCGCCACAGCGTTGGCTGAGACCTGCCAACTCGTGACATGCACCAGAGGTGAAGCCCCCTGCACTTTCTATGTCCCATCACATTGGGGACCCCTATGCTGATGAAGGTGCCCCCATGCTGACACCAGCACACACCTGGTGATGTCGGGCAGGGTGACGAGGTGCCCAGCCTTCAGCGCCGCATGGAAGCTGTGGGCCCCCCAGGTCTCAGCGGCAATGATGGGGACATCAAGCCATCCCACCTGCTGCAGCCCGGCCACCACACCAGCCAGCAGCCCTCCACCTCCCACCGCCAGCACGATGGCATCAGGCTTTGTGTCCAGCACATCCTTCAACTCCAGGACCAGGCTGGCATGGCCCTGCCTGTGGGATGGAAACAGTGGGTGGCTGCCTGTGTCCTGTCCAGAGCACAGGGGCGAATGGCACTCACCACAGCAAGGGGTGGTCAAAGGGGTGGATGCTGGTCCAGCCCTCGTTCTGCGCCAGCTCTAGGGCTCTCTGGTTGGCTTCATCCCACACCTGTGAGGCGGTGGGCACTCAGTGGGGCTGCAGCCAGCTCCAGTGCGCCATCCCCATCACCCCTCCCTTGATGCCATGAGGACAGTGGAAATCCAGGCAGGGTGTGGGTGATGCAGGCATTGGGTCTGAACACGCCCACAGCCTCACAGAGGGCCGCAATGCCCTCCCAGCCACAGTTTGGGGTGTGGGTGCCGTACCTTCCCATAGATCTCCACTGTTGCCCCCAGCTCCTCCAGCCTGCGCACAGTGCTGGGGCCGGTGCTGCTGGGCACCACCACAGTGACCGGCAGCCCCAGCTTCCTGGCTGTGTACGCTGCAGCCATGCCAGCATTCCCCCCTGCCAAAAGTAGTGGGTTGAGCAGTTCCACCCTCCCCCCATCCCCCAGCTCATCCCAGACCCAAAGGATGAACTTTGCTAGGGGAGAGAGGGGACACCCAGCCCCAGCCCCAAAACCCGGTGGGAAGGCACAAGGACAAGGGGCTGGGAGCACAGGGGTGTTCCCCAGCACCCCCATCCCATAGCCCCCCCAAGGCCCACGCAGGTCTCAATTACCTGAGGAGCAAACAAAGTGCCGGCAGCCCTTCCTGGCAGCCTGCGGGGAGGGAAGGAGACAGAGGAAGGACGTGGCCATACGTATCCACGGTGTCCCGAGGCCACACAGCCACGTAGCACACCCACCTCCTGGCAGAGGCGCCCGACGCCCCGGATCTTGAAGGAGCCGGTGGGCTGCACGTTCTCCAGCTTCATGTAGACCTGGGTCCCTGCTGCCCGGGACAGGGTTAGGCTCTCCAGGAGCGGGGACACGATGTGGAAGGTCTTCTCACCTCCCCCGTATTGGGCTGCCATCACTGCAGGGCGATACGTGAGAGCCGGTGCAGGGCTCACTGCACGTCCCAGAACGACGTCTGGGGACCAAGGAGGGCAAAGTGACTTCAGAGGGGCTGCGGTTGCGTCCCTGGGTCCTTTATCAGCAGTGTACTCTGCCAGCAGATTTGAGGACTTTGTTCCATTGGCCCAGGACGGCAGTCAGCCCTTCCAGGCAGCCGTACCACGGCTCGTTGGCACCGGAACTGGCACAGCGTGTCCCAGTCACAGCGAGCTGGGGGAAGGGCTCCTGGCAGGGCTGCACTGCTGTGGGGCCAGCAGCCCTGCTCTGCTCAGGGATGGCCCCTTCTCATCAACCTCCAGGTGAGCCCCACACACTCAGAGCTGGCTCTGCCCTAGGCAGGGAGGAGCAGGATGGGTCCTGGCAGGACAGGGCTGTGCTGTTCTGGAGGTGACAAATGCCAGTGTGTGCCTGGAATGACGGGGACACAGAACCAGGTCCGAGGCTGTGGGACATCAGCCAGCCTGGACCTGGTGGGAACCTCGTACCTTCAAAGCACTGTCTAATGTCAGCTCATTAATCCCTCAGTAATTACCTCGTTATTCCTAACGAGCCACACCACATGGAGCTGATCAAGGGAGCTGCAGTAAGAGGATTTTGCACTGCAGGTTTTGGGGCTGGGGGGGCACACAGGTGGCTGAGGAGGGGAAACAAAAGGGACAAGGATGGTCACCCTATCCTGGGGCAGGCTTGCTCCCTTGCCTGTTCCAGCTGTGCATGCTGCTGCTGCTGCTGCCAGGAACCCGAGGGAGTCATCGCTGAGCAGTCTGAGCAGAGGCCAAGAACCCCGAGCCGCTGTGTCCCAGCACTGCACTGCAGGCACTGCTCTATGCTCCTGGGGCAGCACCCAGCAGAGGGGGAAGCACGCTAGAACAACATCCCTGCGCAGGGGTACCACAGCACAGCACGCACCTCAGAACGTTGGCAGAGCATGAAGTGCAGCCTCCAGCATTTCCGTTGCACACAGAGCATTTTATTTGTTACACCAACCCCGGCCATTCACCCCTCCCTGCCATGCAGCTGTCCCAGCACCAGCCCCACCTCCTGGAACCCATCTTCCAGAATGAGGAGCCCTGTGGGAGGCCTTCCTTCCGTGCTTGGTTTTGGGTCCGGGGTCAGAGCCCACTGACCGACCCCAGCTGCGGTGGCACAGATGGGGCACAGGAGCAGCAAATGGTGAGAGAAGCACGGGGAGAAAAACACGGGGGGCAGTTCCCTGCAGCCCCCCCATCCTGCAGAAACAGGAAAAGGCGTGGCGCCGGCTCAGTCCCATCGGACCTTGACAGGAGGGAACCTCCAGAGGTCGGGGTGGCCCATGCGCAGCAGGTGGCTGCAGGGCGATGCGCTCCAGCGGAAGGGCGGCACGTCGTCCCACGTCGGCCCGCTGGCAGCCACCAGCCCGAAGGTGCGGGCCATGCCGAAGGAGGTGACCTGGCGGGGGAGGAATGTGGAGATGTGAGTGCCAGGAAGTGACGGCACGGCAGGGACCAGGGCTGTGCCCACCTTGGTGTCAGTGCCACCGTGGCAGCGCTGGCGCAGGGCAGCGAAGGGGTAAGTGCCGTTGGCTGGGTTGAGGTCAGAGCGGGCGGAGATGGCGTTCTCAGCGTTGTGCGGCGGGTCGCAGCCCCGGCACTGCGACAGCGGGTCCTGCAGGTAGTTGTTGGACCTGCCGGGCAGCAGGGAGAGAGACAGGGTGCAGGAAGTAACACGACAACTCCGGTGAATATCTGACATGAGGGCTGGAAAATCCCTGGGGCCAGCACCCACCTCATCAGGTGGACCATGGAGTCCACATCACGGACCTGAGTCTGGTTCCTGCGGAAGATTTGGGCGCGCGGGTTCTTGTCATAGGTGAACCAGTCACCATACTTCTGCACCAGCTCCAGGTTCCCGCTGGCATTGAAGATCTCCTCAAAGTACCTGGATGGGGGGCAGGGACAGTCAGCCTCCCCTGCCCTCAGCATGGGATGGTAGGGCAGAAAGGTGAGGCTGCACGAAGCTTACGGCACGTTGTAGCTGGCCCAGTACCCCTGCTGGTACAGCAGCTCTGTCTTATCAGCCACCATCACCAAGCCCCTGTGGCAGGAGGATGGCAACAGTCAGAGCAGAAGGCAAAGCACAGCAGGGATGAGAGAAAACCCACCTGGGGGTCTCGAGCAGGGTGTCAGGGGCCCACATGCAGGAGAGCCATCAGCAGCAGCCCCACTGCTGTCACACCTTGGCAAAAGGGCCACCACCAGCAAAGGAAGCCCACTTCGGCCCACTGGGCAGCCTGCGGGCTGGGCACTGGGGGATGAGAGGCACTCACGGGATCTGCTCCAGCACCGTCAGCAGGCCCTGCTGCGGGGCAGCACGCCCCGGAGAGAACGCCTTGTAGTCCACCAGCATCCACTGGTTGTTGTACCTGCAGGAAGGCACAGTGACCTTCGGTGGCCGCCCTGAGGAGGGGACGCTCTTCCCCTCCGCCCCGACCCTGCTCACGTGCCACTGTTGAAGCGCTGGAAGATGCCCGCCCACTCGGCGCCGCTGCGGGCCAGCCGGTTGGCCACGATGTTCCGCAGCCACTCCAGGACGCTGCCCTGGGGCCGCAGGTACCGCCAGCGTGCCTCGTCGCTGTTCCCGATGGTGGTCTCCAGCGCGACCTGTGGGGACGGGAGGACTGAGCGGGGCCGGCGGGGGGCGCAGGGCTGTAAGCGGCACTTACCAGCCCGCTGCTTAGGATGTAGAAGTCATCTCCAGAGAAGATGGTGCCGGGGTAGGAGGAGAACACCTGGACGCTGCCCGGGACGCGGGCGGTGCCTGGGGGAGCAGAGCAGGTCAGGCAGCAGGCGGGGGCACGGAGCAGCCCCCAGCCCCGCACGCACCACCGGGTTCGGCGCGGAAAGGCAGCGTGTACTTCTTGATGAGGCGCAGCATGGACTGGTAGGGCGCCCAGGTGTCGTGGGCCACCAGCAGGTCCCGGCGGCCCGGCAGCAGCTTGAGCAGCGCCGAGCACGAACCGGAGCCCAGCGGGCGCCGCGGGGCAGAGCGGTTGAAGGCCGCCTCCAGGTCCTCTAGGTCCCCCCCCAGTTGCAGCAGGCTGCGGGCAGCGGGGCGTCGGGCCGGGGCACCCGCACCGAGCGCCGCTCCCGGGGTGGGGGGGCTCGGTGTGCCCGGCCCGGGGGCGGACCCCTTCCTTACAGGAAGCCGAAGGGCGAGAGGGAGAGGCGGCCGGCGGGGAGGGCCACGCGCCCGCGGTAGCTGTCCTCCAAGCCCTGCAGCTGCAGCAGCGCCAGGCGCACCTGGGGGGAGGCGGGGAGACGGGGGGGGCGGGACGGGGACGGACGTTATCTTCGGGCCGCGGTGCGGGGTCGGCTCCCGAGGGCCGGTCCCGGCTCGGACGGCCTCACCTGGTGCCAGTAGGCGCGGTCGCGGCCGGAGCCCATCTGCTCCTCCATCCAGGCCAGGTTGGCCTCCAGGTACCCCCGCAGCCGGCGGCAGTACTGCGTCTCGTAGCGGAAGGGCCCGCAGTAGCCCACGGCCGTGTTCATCCAGTGCATGTAGATGAGCTGCGCACACGGCGCTGGCACCCAACGCCGCCGGCACCGCCCCGCGCCCCGCACCCGCGCCGCGCGCCCCGCACCTGCTCGGTGACGGCGGCCTCGGCCAACCCCGCGGCGTAAGCCTGCAGGCTGTCGTTGAAGAACGCGTTGGCGGACACCTCGAGGAACGCCCACCTGCAGCGTGGGGCACCGCTCAGAGCGAGGAGCGCCCGGGCGGCCGCACGCTGCCCCGCACGTTCCCGCACGGCCCCGGGCCCTTACCCGACGGCCTGGATGTGGTCGGTGAGCTCGGCCCAAGCGACGGCGGCGGGCTGGCGGCCGGGCAGCACGCGGAGCCGGCCCGAGCCGGGCTCCAGCAGCACGGAGGCGCTGCGGGGCGGAGGGGTCGGGCCGGACGCGACCCCCGGCACCCACGCGGCCACCGCGGCGGCCACCAAGAGCGCCCGCAGCGCCGCCATCGCGGGAGGGGCGGAACCGCGCCTGGGAGGGGGGCGTGCCGAGAGGAGGCGGGCGGGGTACGAAACGAGCCGCGCCCCTCCGTGCCCGGATGCCCGGGTCTCCTCCGGCCGCCCCTCGCCCTGCAGGTGCCCATTCCCCCGTGGACGCCCCGGTCCCCCGACATCCCCGGCCCTAGACGCTTCCTCCTGTCTCGTCCGTGCCGACCCCCTCCCCGCGTCCACAAACGCTCCCTCCCAGCCCCACGCAGGGCGGACGCGACCGTCAGCGCCCCGACCCCGGCCACGCCGTGCCCGGCAGGTGGCAGCTGGCAGCCCCACGGCCCCTCCTGGCCGTGGCCGCCCACCCCCGCCGTGGGATGTGCGCAATGCGTGACACGGGAGCGCGGGTGACGCGGGAGCGCGGCGGCAGCCCCGGCCTTACGCAATCGCGGCTGTTTACCGCCCTCCCCGCTGCGCTCGGCGGGCAAAGTCCCCGGGAGGCGCCAAGCGGGGGCAGAGGGCTCGGAGCCCCCCCACCCGCGGGGAGCACGCGGCTCCCTCGGCCCGGTCCTGCGTTACCCGCCCGGTCGCACCCCGACCCCCCGCGGGTGCCCACCCGACACCTGGCACACTCGTGTCGGCGGCGCGACGCCGCCAAGCCGACCTACGGCCCCGCGCCCACAGCCACGCCGAGCGCGGTGCCCTGAGAGTGCCGGGCGGCGGGGGCTCTGCCGAGTGGTCCCCCGCCCCCCTTCTTCCTGTGCCACAGACAGGCGCTGTCGCTTTAAGAGCGGAGGGTGGCGGCCCCTTTAAGGCGAGGGGGAAATCAGCTGCCCGTGCACGGCGGCGGGGCTGCGTGACACGGCGGGGCGGGGCGGGGCGGGAGGGTTCCCGGGTAGCCTCAGCAGCCCCGGCCCCAGCGGTACTTCGTCCTTGCCGCTCGTTGGGTTGCCGCCATCCCCTGGATTTGGGTTCCCCCGCGGTGCCCCGTGCCGCGCTCGGCTTCGCTTTCCTCCTCCCGCGGGAGCGGAGCGGGGACGTGGCGGCTCGGTCCAGCGCCGGGGCTGGTAACCAAGCCGCAGCCCGTGGCCTCTTTTAATTCCTATTTCTGTTTGTATTTTTAGATCTATTTCTAACCCTACTTCTGTTTTACATTTCCATTTCCCTCTCCCGTTTTTATTCCTATTTCTATCCCCGTTTTCTCTTTCCGTTCGTATTTCCACTCCTGCTCCTGTCCCCGTCTCTTCCCCTGGCCATGGCTCCCGCCCGTCGCGTGCAATAGCCCCCGCACCCCGAAGCCCGAGTTGTCCCCGAGCCGTGGATGCGATGGGGCCGCTGTGGGCGCTACGTGTGGCCGGGGCGCTGAGCGTGGCCGGGGCGCTGGCGGGGCACGACGGGTCCCAGCGCTCGGGGCCGCCGGCGGCTCTGGACGCGGGGACCCGGGATGACGGCGCGGGACACGACCGGGGCGTGGACGTGAGTGGGGACGCGAGGCGGCGGGGTGACGGGTCCTGCCCTTGCGTCGACCTCCGTCGACGCCCCACGGACGTGGGACGGAGGGGGAAAGCGAGGCAGGGACGGAAGCGGCCGCGACCCCAGGGTGAGCGCCGCCCGCCCGCTGGGGACGCGTGTGGGACACGCGGCTCTTCCCGCAGTGCCGGGAGGTGCGGAAGCGCAACAGCTCCGAGCGGTGCCGCTTCGTGCGCAGCACCCCGGACTGCCGCCTGGACGACGGTTTCCTCGACTATCTCGGCGGAGCGTTCTGCGCCTTCCCCGCCGCGCTTCTCCCGCTGCCCGTCGGCCTCTACGTGAGCGCGTGGACGGGGGGAGGTGGGCGGGCGGCCCCGGTTGGGAGATGCTCGGCCACGGGCGACGCGGCACCTCTCCGCCCGCAGGTGCTTTGGCTCCTCTACCTCTTCGTCATCCTCGGCGTGACGGCGGAGAAGTTGTGAGTAGTGCCGGGGCCGCGCAGAGCGAAGAATGGTCCGGCGCTGCGGCTCCGTGCCCCTGTCACCCCTCTTTGTGCTCTTCCAGCTTCTGCCCCAACCTGTCGGCCATCTCCACCACGCTGAAGCTGTCCCACAACGTGGCAGTATCCTTGGCCTCCTGCGGATTGGGGTGGGGGGGGGGGTGACGGGGACCCGGTGCGGTGGGACACTCCTTGACGCCCGCTCTCCATGGTGTCACCTTCCTGGCCTTCGGCAATGGGGCCCCGGACGTCTTCAGTGCTGTGGTGGCATTCTCCGACCCGCGCACGGCTGGGCTAGCGGTCGGGGCTGTCTTTGGTGAGAGCTGTGCTGGCCAAAAGGGGCTGGGGGCATGGGACCCCGCTGATGGGCTGCGTTGCGTTGGCAGGCGCCGGCATCTTTGTGACCACGGTGGTGGCCGGTGGCATTGCCCTGGTGAAGCCCTTCTCAGCTGCCTCCAGGCCCTTCCTCCGGGACATCATCTTCTACATGGTGGCCGTCTTTCTCACCTTCCTGATCCTCTACTTTGGCCGCATCACACTGGGGGAGGCTCTCGGTGAGCACCGCGGCAGGGCGGGGGCTGGTGCGGCAGCCCAGGGGTCCCATAACCTCTCTGGCCCCATGGCAGGGTACCTGGGGCTCTACGTCTTCTACGTCTTCACTGTGGTGCTGTGCACCTGGATTCACCGCTGGCAGCGTGGGGATGGGCTGCCCCAACCCGGGCCGTGGGAGCCAGGTAAGGAGCGCTCTGCGGTGCCGGGAGGAATCCCTCGGCACCCCCACTTTCTCCTTGCTCCCTCCCAGCCATACGGACAGAAGCTGAGGAACGGGAGTCCTCGGGCACCAACTGCGGGGACTACGGTAGGGTGGGCTGTGGGGTCGTCTCCAGCGGTGGATCGGGTGGGGGGAGTCTTGCGGAGCGCAGCCCTGTGGCCCCACACAGGTGAGGAGTACCGGCCCCTGCTGCCCTACCGCGATTCCTCGCTGCACATTCTTGGCACTGCCCTCAACCCCCTGGACAAGCAAAAGTGGAGGAGGAAGCCCTGGTACTGGCGGCTCTTCAAGGTGCTCAAGGTGAGCAGGGATGCAGGATGGGAGAAGGGCACTGTGCTGGGGGGTGCGGCACTCACAATCCCCTCCTCCCAGATCCCTGTGGAGCTGGTACTGCTGTTCACCGTGCCTGTGGTGGACCCTGACAAGGATGACTTGAACTGGAAGAGACCTCTCAACTGCCTGCACATCATCACCGGGCCCCTGACCTGCATCCTCACCCTCAAGTCGGGGGCCTGTAAGAGCCTGTGGTACCCTCACAGCCCTGAGGAGGGGCTGAGACTGGGAAGGCCCCAAAGCCCCATGCTGGAGGCCTGGCTTGCTGTGGGGTTGCCTCCTCTCTCCATCTCCCCTGGTTCTCCTAGCAGGGTGGGGGGCTCCCGTTGTGTCACTGCAGCCATGGCCCGGCACTGAGCTTCTTGGGGCCCCTCTATCCAGGTCTCGGGAAAGAAACAGGGGAGGAGAGCGCTGGCTTCAGGGGACAAGGCTCAGTGCTGTGCCCCCAGGCTGGTGAGGTCCTGCCCAGCCTGTGGGGCCACACAGTTGCCCTCTCTGTCCCTGATGCAGATGGGCTGTATCAGATCCAGGGCATCTTCCCAGTCTGGGCACTGGTGGCACTGTCTGGCTCCGTCCTGGCCATCATCATCTTTGTGACCACGCGCAACGAAGAGCCACCCAAATCCCACTGCGTAAGGTGCCCCTGGCCCCGAGCACCATGTGGGCAAGGACCATGCCTCCATTGCCCCAAGAGTGTGCAGCCAGGTCCCGGTGCAGCCAGGGTCCAGCTCACCTGGTCCCGGCAGGTATTCGCCTTCCTCGGGTTCCTGGCCAGTGCTATGTGGATCAATGCAGCAGCCACGGAGCTGGTGAACGTCCTGAGGACCCTGGGTATCATCTTTGAGCTGAGCAACACTGTGCTGGGCCTGACCTTGCTGGCCTGGGGCAACAGCATTGGAGGTAAGAGCCCCGTGTTATCTGCCTTTGTGGCACACTGTACCTCAGTGGGATGCAGGGGCCCCAGCATCTCCTGTTCTTGTCCTGCAGACACCTTCTCTGACCTCACCATGGCACGGCAGGGATACCCCCGCATGGCCTTCTCTGCCTGCTTTGGAGGCATCATCTTCAGTATCCTTTGGGGAGCTGGGTGCTGGGGGTGGGGTGCTACTTGGGCCTGCTTCTAGGAGACCTGAGCTGCGCAGGATCCATCCTGGAGTCTGCCACAGGGAGGGAGGGGAAGAGGCTGTGCCTCCCCAGGGTGCCCCAGACCATGACACAGCCACCTGTCCTCAAGCAGTCTAGACTTTGGCCTTATGCAGGCTGGGAGAGAGGGATGGTGCTGTCCCCATTGCCAGGGCTGGGGGGGATGCCATGCCATTCTTCACCCTGAACTGCCCTCAGATATTCTGGTGGGCGTGGGGCTGGGCTGCCTGCTGCAGATGACCAGCAGCCAGATGGTGGTGAAGGTGAGGCTGCTGGCCGCAGTGTGGTGGGGCTGGCACTGACAGGATCCCCTCGTCACTTGGCATCCTCTGTCTCTCCATCAGTTGGAACCTGACAGCCTGCTGGTGTGGATCTTGGCTGGGGCCCTGGGACTGAGCCTGGTGTTCTCCTTCGTGGCGGTACCAGCACAGTGCTTCCAGCTGGGCAGGGCGTACGGCACCTGCCTCATCCTCTACTACTTGGCCTTTCTCTGCGTGGCCCTGCTCACCGAATTCCAGGTGATCCACCTGGTTCCCACCTGAGCGCTGCAGGGCCCCATCCCTGCCCTGCCGCAGCCCACGGGGCCACACATTTGCTCTCTGGAGAGAGAGCTGGTTGTGTTTTGGGAAAGAAAGAGGATTTGTTAAGCACTAGCCATCTCCTCGCTCCGTTCTGTTGAACTTCGTTTAACTTGGGGTGTCTCTGAACAAGGATGAGGGTAAAGGCTTGATTGGCTGCTGCCCCAGGGCACAGGACTGGAGCAGCCGCAGGGGAGCATGCGCTAGGACACCCCTTCATCTCCCCATCTGGGCTCCTTGGGGGCTGGCAGCTGTGCGTTGTGGGAAAACTGGAAAGTAAAGGCTTGAGTGCAACTTTGGGAACGTCTGTCATTGCAAGGGGCAGCAAGCCTTCAGCAGGTGAATTGAAAGAGCAACCAGAGGTGTTAAGGTGAGGCAAAGCACCAGAGCAGTTCTTGGGCTTCATGCACGCAAAGCTGATAATGAGCCGCTGTTTTTTTTTTTTTTTTTTTTTTTTAAAGCAATACTTTTCAACCTGAATTTAAGATACTCAGAGGGTGCACAGAGCTGTAGCAAAGGACTTAATATCTGGAGGCTCTTACGTGCCCGACAGCCTCTGGCAAAACTAGGTTTAGACACTGTAAGAACGGATAACTTGCAATTAAAAACTACACAGCCTCCACGGGTGGTGTTTGCTGTGAAGCGGGGTGTGCAGGGCTGGACTGCAGGGAGGACCTGGGGCTGCTTGTGGTGAGGCAGAGGCCATGCAGCACTGCCTGGGGCCACAGTTTCCTCTGGGGTTAGTGCCTGCACGTTTCCCAACAGCAGTCACATGCAGCTGAAGTTGCTGTCACAGCAGCACGTTACATGGGTCTGCCCTGACTACAGCCACTGGTCCTGATGCGGGGTTGCACTGCTGTGGTTGGCCCAGTGCTACTCTGTGGGGACAGGGGGCAGCTGCACAAGCAGCACTCTGCTGCTGGCAGCTTTCAGGCTCTCCTAGCCTGCTCCTCTTTCCTTCCGGGCCCAGATCCTTCCTCCGTTCTCTGGCTGTGTAAGTGCTTTCACAAGAATTCAGGTGCTGTTTGCTGGCTGCTATTGGCTCTGCCCTGGATTTACCACAGCCAGCCCCAGCTTCCAACAAGCACCACGCAGCACAGACACCGAGGTGAAGGAGCAACAGCTTCTGCAGCCCCTCCTGCCCCTCGGGGGTAGCTATAAAAGCAAAACGTAAGTTTGAAAGTATTGTGGTAACAGAGAGAAAAACTGTCAGGGGCACAGAAAGAAGCAGGCTGGGAGCTGGCAAGGGCCAGGAGCAAGAATTCATGCATGTGACGAGTACTCCTGCAAGCAGCCGCCACTGGAGAGAGAGGGCAGGCACAGTTCCTCTGCAGAGGATGTGGCAATCTGTAAACTGAAACCGAGCCCTGCTTCTGAAACAGCAGGCAGGAGGAAAGCAAGCTGCTGCCTCTAAAGCTGAGGATGCTCTTTATTAGTGTGCTTGAAAAATCTAGAGAACATTTTACAGACACATCCATAAAATTATCTTTATAAACAAAAGACCAGCATACAAAACCCTCCTGTGTTCCTCCCTCATTCCCTACAAAATGATTGTCGTTAGTCTGTGGGTAAGGTGGGGAGGAAGAGCAAATAGTAGGGGAGGCCCCATACTAAAACTTCTTACTTCTTTTCCTTCCAAAGAAGTAAACTTCTGTGATCTTCCTTGCTTAAAAAATAATACTGTGTACACGGGGGCAAACCCACATCTCAGCATAAAGCCAGAAAAGCAGCACCCGAGCCCCATAGCCCAGGGGCTTCAGTGCTGTTCCCCACACCAGAGCCCTGCTCCCACATGAGTGGGTCAGTGCCTCTGCAGCACAGCATAAAGCTGCAGCTCCAGAACAGGTCAGTGAGAGCCCTGCCACGGTGACAAAGACTTTAAACAAAGCCACACTTCCTTTTCTAACCTTCTCAATGCTCATCCTGCCCATAACCTGGAAACATTTCCCCCAGCCCCAGGATTAACGCAGGTAAGTCTCCCAGTCTGCAGTCCCACGCAGAGCAACTGCAAGACAAACACTGCACTGCTCATTAATTTGTGGTCAAATTTATGGTTTGGAAAATAGCCCTTTAAGGTCCTTCATGGTTCAGCTCAGAATTACTTTCATACCACCTGCAGAGCCCAGAGGAGAAACAAAGAGCTGCCCTGAGGCACCCAGGGAACGTGGCTGTTCAGAGAAGAGGAGCACACATCACGTTGCCTGCCTCTGAAAAATCTCATCGTTTCCCAAAAATGTTCTCTGTGCGCCCATATAGGGTCAGTCCTGTACCCCTGTCCTTAAGCCATGTGCTGGTTCTATTTAGGAAAAAAAACAGGTACTTGGGATGTGTGCCCATTCCCTACATCCCATCACCCCGCTCACCCAAAGGAAGGTTAAAGCCTCCCATCCCTGCCACATCCACTGTAATCTGAACCTGAGAAAAGATCAAACAGGAAGAGGTATGGGGAACCTCCACGCTGACAATCTTCACTCTCAGCACTTTCTGTGGTGACAGGATAAGAAAGGAACTCAGAGACAGGCTGTCACCACTTTGCAATAATGAAACACAAGAGATGAAGCAACCTGCCACGATCCCAGAATTTACATGTCAGAGCTGGCCAAGGAGCCCTTTTCCCCTCCTTCCTCCTCTCCCAGCTACCTGGTCCAGCAGCCTCCATGCCAGACACTGAAAAGCAGACAAATGAGAAGAATTGTTGTCCTTCACAGTTCTGCATCCAGAATTCAAAGGAACAGTAAAGCCCTTCAGCAGAGGATCCTCCTAAGATCTGACCCAGTCAGCACTTGCCAGCTCGAGGAACAGTTCTGCATGGGTGAGAACGAGGGAGGAGGAATGCTGCTGTGCTGACTGACCCTCCTGTTAAACAAAGCAACGACCTACCTGAGGGCTAACAAGCAATACTGTTTGATGGACTCCCTATCCATAAGTTTCAGCCCCAAGCAGAAATAAGCCACAGGTTTGGAGCTGCAAAGTCCTCTCCTTCCCAGTCATGAATTAATGACCAAAGACTTGCCATTTACAAGCAGGTGGCTAAGTGACAGAGCTCACCCTTCCCTACGAAGATGAGAGCTGAGGGGTTTACAGAGGTGATTCTGATACCAGGCAGTGCCGTGGGCATAACCGACCTGCAGAGATGCAGACACTGGACAGCCATGGCAAAAAGTTTGTCTGCCTAAATTCCTGTCCCCACTATGGTCATAATGCAACAAGATTTCTGCCCCTCACCAGCTGCCACAGAACGGCTTAGGGACAGCTAAATTCAACAGTCAGAACTGAATCTACTGCAGGGAGTGCGTCCAGGTGTACCAAGAAGAGGGAAAAGGCAGACTGCTCTCCACCAGTGCTGAAGCTCCATAGCACCTCCTCTTGCTTTGCAAAAGGAGGGCAGAGAGGAAAAAAACAACAGAAACAAAACACCAAGCAAAAACCACCTCCCTCCCTGATCTTTTATTCCTAGGTTAATAGTACCCTTTAAGTGTAGCAGACCTTCAAAAAGGGCCTTTTTTTTTTTTTTTTCTTTTTTAAATTGTAAGCATGTAGCCTCAGCGCATTTCCTGCTGTTAATGGATTACACATCCCTTTCCCGCAGGGTCTGTTACTGCTAAGACAAACAGCAGGCTTGAGCTTGGGAAGCAGCTCAGAGGAAGAAGGTCTCCATTTCTGTCCAGAAGGTCGCTCTGTGCTGAGCACAGCACCGTGCTCAGTCTGGTTGTAGCAGAGTCCACCTGCTTTTTTGCGCTTAACGGAAGAGCTTTTATCCCTAACACCAACCAGTTCATGGAACAGATCTATATACATCACCCCAACATATATGCTGTGAAGTAATACTCTAGGTTATTGCATAGAAGGCAGCTTGCACTAGCCAGGCCTAGATGACGGTCTGGGAACGTTGTCGGAGGCTCAGGGGCTTCAGAGAGCTCTGGGAAGCAGATGCAGACTCTTGCAATGGTATCTGGGATTCCTCTTTTCTGGAATGTTCCTCATACCATTCCTGTGACAGAAGATCAGAACAGATCAGTCTCTGCCCCAAAGCTGCCACGTGGCCACCAGCAGGACCCCAGTCTGTGTGCTCAGACAGAGGGGCTTTTTTCAAGGCCCTGTTTATGGCCTACATAAACAACCTCATCAACCACAGCACAGCCACGAAGGGTGCACTCACATATCAGCATTCACAGCCTGGACAAGAAGGAGAAGCCGTGGCTCAGCTACAGCTAGCTGAGCTGTCAGGTCTGACAAACCAGAGCAAGGAAACATCACACTCAGATGTCGCCCAGGGACTGTCACACTGACATCACAGTGACATCTGCGGCTCACAAAGTTGCACCAGGGTATTACAGGACATTACATCCCTGCGTCAGAGACCAAGCACAAGAAGCAGGGAGCTTCACTGCAGGTTACCATCCAGCTCCACACGATTAGTGTGCTTATTTTTGTTAGCAGGACTGAAGACTCATCCCCAAGCTAGCTGGCCAGGGGACAAAGGAAATATTCTAATGGTTTTGAAATTAATGCCTTCATTGCTAATCATTATACTAGTCCGTGACCTTTTAACAGTAACCAAATTCATGGCATAAGGCTCCTAACCTCAAAGAACACTTAAGGCAGTGCCTTAAACAATCCAGAGAATCAGCTGATGTAAACGTTTCCCATCTTCATTAGCCTGCTATTCTGAAGGAACAACTGGCCTTTGCAGAGCACTTGGGCGTGTCTGTGCAACAGAAGCCAAGCTCAAACACAATCACATTCCAGCGCCTTAACAAATTAGCTTCATGCAGCCAAGGCCCAGGAACACTCCGTGCACATGCTCTTAGCCCAGCAACCAATGCCCACCTTCACGAGTGCGGGTAAGCTGAGCAAGCTGAGCACGTACATGCAGCCAGCACTGTTACTGCCACTGCTGATGCATGTCATCAACACAGCTGGGCTCCTGAACCCACTGAGGAGACTGTGACAAGTTTAAGAAAGCCCCTCAACACCAGCACTAAAGAATCTGAAGCACAATTCATCTACTGCCTGCTCCTTTCATAGAGCCGCATCTCAGAGGGAAAACGCCTCCTGCGTTTAGAAATGTCAGTTTGTTATTCTAGGCAGCATGAAGTGTTCTGTTAATGACAGAGGTTTACTGGTATTTCCAACTTACACCCACATACCTGGATCTCTTCCTCATACATCTTCATACTTAAGTCACTCTTGGTCCTTGATCTGCGTCCCAGAAAGAGCGTGGACACTTGCTAAGGAGTTGGGGGGAAGGAGGAGATGAACACAAAGATGGCATTCGTCAGTCACTGAGCAACTCACAAGAGCTGTGCTGGAGCTTCAGTCTGTCACCCACTGGAGAGCTTAGGCTGCTCCAGGCTCTTCTCATTGCCAGGAGACAATGGTATTTTAGAGCACACATCACCTGACTAAACGTAGGCATCTGCTCCAGGCTGAGATGTATTTCGCTGCAGGGATCCCTGAAGGCTACAAAGTGCTGCAGGAGACCAGCTCAAATGGACACAGTTGTGTCAGGGGCACTCAGTTTTGTCAGAAGAACATACCGTCTGGAACAAGGCTCAAACCCAACATTCCAAAGGAAGATCTCAGCTTAGAACAATTTCAGGTCTCAGTTGCTTAGCACATACCACAGGTCTAGACTTTTTAGATCACACAAGCAGAGGGCTGAGTTATGAATTACTCTCTGCCTATGAGTCAACTGAACAGCACTGAGAACCAAAGAAACTCCACACCATCATTCCATACTCCACTGCAAGGCAAAGGATGAAGACATCATCCTTTGGTTAACTTGAAATCTGTTTCTAAGTAGCATCATTATCACTATTCTATGTGAACAAGAACTCAACATTTAACTACCAAGCCAACCAAAGTAAATAAAGATCCACTAAGGGACTGCAGCACTGGCACTCTGCATAAAGGATGCACAAATACAATAGTTGTTATTAAAACAATCATTTAAACTCCTCTCAGATGCAAAAGCCAGCAGTTCTCAGACACAAGAGCAGTTAGCCAGGTCAGCTCATCTTTCCAATTGTCCATCCTGCCCTGGAATGAAAGAGTAAGCAATGATGCAGAGAACAGAAAGCTGGTGTTTGGATCAATATGAACACACTGTTGCATTATGCTTCAGGACTGTCTGGGCCTAAGCGTACGATGGACAGAAGGAGAGGCAGGAGAATAAGACCGTGGCTTTTCTGGAGAAAGATAAATATTCTCTTTCCAGCCAGTACTGGGCCAGGACAGCTCTGTGTGAAGTTTGCAGGCTGTAACGAATCCTTGTCAGGGACATTTAGCTGAGACTTTTCCAGGGCAGAACAACTCTGTGCCATTTCCACACAGTTCCTCTTTGCAGCTCAGCTCTAAACATGACAAAGATGCACACAGATTTCCTCTGGAAGACAGCAAAAAGGTACCTGCGGGCCTGGTGTGCCTTCTTCCCTTCAAGCCAAGAACCTACATTATGGGTTTCCTCTTACCCCGTGTTTATCCATCTGCGAAATGATCTTCTGCAGCTGAGAAGTTTCAGTGGCAGCTGAATTCCGCTTGTACAGCTCAATTATCCCAATCACTTCCTCTTTGGAGATCTCCTTCTCCAGCACAATGCCATTGTCTTCTGGACAGGCAAGAAAAAGAAAGAGGAAGAGAAGTCAGCAAGATGAATGTTGCTTCCATGACCCTGGAAGGCAAAGCAAGCAGGCCCAAGTGGGACATCAGGCACAGTCTACATCCACTTTTTTGACTAGAGCACATATGTCCTTGTTCTCCAACAAGAGAGGGATGAAGAAAATTAGTGTGTAGGGTCAGCAAGCATGTCTCAGCTTTTAAGATACCAGGGAGCCTGATGTATTAAAGCCTTGTAGCTTTTTGCCACCTGCAAGCTAACTAGCAAAACAAACAATCAAACACTAATTGCTGCCTCTTGGCCTTCAGCTGCCCAACACAGCTTGAGAAGTAAATGTTAACTAACGCCTTTCACTGCACCCTTCAAACTGGGTACCTGAAGGATCAGGACGAGGAATGGTTCTGAAACTAATAATGCCTGGCTCCTACTGACATGACACCACGTATTTGGATCTTCTGGCACCTAAGTAAGATCAGATGAGCCAATCACAGCCATTCCTGTGACTGGGGCCTCCA